TCTGGCTGTGAGCTCTAAGTTGTTTGCCCTGGGATGTGGTGTGGTAGCAGGATCCAGCTATTTGCTCTAATGTAGCTCTCCTCTGATCATTTAACCAAAACCTTTCTATTAAGCGCCTACTTGGTGAGACTCATTGGACCAGTATGAGGGATGGAGGAGAGCACAGGTCACAGGGCAGACAGTCAAGTTACAACATAGTCCTAGAGATGAGATATGTGCAGTAGAGATAATAGTGAACAAGGCAAAATTCTGCATGCTGTACATATCGTTGGAGTTTGGGGAACAATGAATGAAGCCTACAGTGGTCCAGGTGGTGTCAGGAAGGAGACAGGACTTGACTGGGCCTTGGAGGGGTGAGCAGGAAGGCTCAGGGTATAGCCTGAACAAAGACACAGGGGCTGGGGTTTTCCTGGGGCTTGTCAATGTAGAGAGACATGGAATACCAAGTCTGTGTTAGGAAACCCTGGGAGAGTTGCTCATCAGAAGAAATGGGCGGCAGAGGCATTTAAAGGCAATGGCCTTTAAAGCCTGGCAGAGAACATGAGCCTCCCAGGGTAGAGTTATGAATGACTGGCCAGAAGAGAGGCAGGCTGACCAGGTAGGACGCTGATGCCATGTTAGATGATAAGGCCTGGGCCAGGGATGTCCTGGCATAAAAGAGGGGCATGGGCATTAGCAGAATCAGCTGGGATGAGCGTGCGTCTCTGACGGGGTTCAGTGCCTCTTTCTGTGTGAAGCTAATTGGTTCCCTTGGACATTAAATCCCTGACCTGTGCCTCATTAGCACAAGTCCTCCCCACTGGAGCTAACCAGCATGAGTGCTGATCTTCATGGGTTGCTATTTTTGCTACTGGAGACTGAAAAAGTATTTAGTTTCCATGTAACCACACACAGAAATAGGAAAACCTTTAAAATGCCCTTTTTTTTTTTTTGGATAATATGAGTATTTTGAGAAAATGTCACACTGTTCACATTTTTCTCTTCTTTATCACGTAGTAATATGGTCTGGCCTTGGGGCCAAGGCTTCTGAGATAAATGTTCTTAGAGGGGATCAATTTCAGAAGAATTCCATGAAATAATAGATTTCCCTTGTTCACATACTAACTGAGCCTACTCAGATCTTTTTTTTTTTTTTCAAGATTTTATTTATTTATTTTTTTCCCTCCAAAGCCCCAGCAGATTGTTGTATGTCATAGTTGCACATCCCTCCAGCTGCTGCACGTGGGACGCGGCCCCAGCATGGCCGGAGAAGCGGCGCGTCAGTGCGCACCCGGGATCCGAACCCAGGCCGCCAGCAGCGGAGCGCGCGCACTCAACCGCTAAGCCACGGGGCCGGCCCCCTACTCAGATCTAAACGAGTAAAAACTTGAAAACATTCATATAGATTTCTTTAAATGCTAACTTTTAGTTCAGACATTGCCATCCCAGAGACAATGCTGTTTGGTCTATGAAACACACAGTAAAGTGAAAATGTGGCAATTATTCCATTTACTTGAATCATATAAAAAGTCGAAATAGACAATTAGGATTACAAAGTGATTTCTTGGCCCAAATACTTGGGCCAAGTCTATAATTAATTGGCTGACTGCCAAAATTCACTTTACTTTGTTCTTTGATGACACACCCAGTGAGAACAAATGAGCCATAAGAAGATAGGTTTGGGATGGGACAGAGAATTATTTTTTGAAATTAAGTATTTAGGCATTGGGTTTTGACTGGGTGTTTCTGGCTTAACTTAAATCTTTTCACATTCTGAATGTACTTGTTTGATCAAATTTTAATTTGCTTTAAAAGAACAGATGAATCAAAGTTAAATATTAAAGTGCTTAGAATTTTTTAAAACAGCATTTTAAAAAATGAACAAGTCAAATCTTGATTTCAACTCAACTGATCATCTTCACAACATAAGGCATTTGAGAGTCCATCTTGGAGCTGAAAACTGCCCATTGCTCTTGCAGCCTGAGCAATGCCCAGCTGCACATGGTGACTGTGTTATCACCCCGACTTCAGCTGTCTAGGAAGGGGACTGTCAAAAGCACATGATGATACTTGTTCCAGCTTGAGTAGGGAAGGTTTGGGGATATAAATAGATCTCACAGAACAATAACCTTTAAAAGGTAGTGAATATCACAAGATGAGGATCAATAACCATAAGATTAAGAGGAGCTGTTAACAGACTCACTAAACTACATGGTGAGAAAGGTGGAGGCAAAATGGTGCCGTGTCAGTCAATAAATCATGAGCTCCCCTTCCCTTGGGAAAACAAGGTAGCAATGACAGCTGCATTCACTGCTCAACAGATCAGCACAGCTGGTGCTTTCGAGTGAGGACTTTGGTGCAAGGCTACCAGGTTTCAAATGTTGGCTCTTTCACTTACTAATTTTGTCACCTTGGCAATTTACTTAACTTGTGTTTGTCTTGGTTTCTCCATCTATAAAGTGGAGGTGATTATAGCCACTACCTCACAGAGTTGTTTTATGGCTTAAATTAGTTAACATCTATAATGCACATTGAACAGTACCTTGCATATACAGGTGTTCCAGAAGTATTTAATGAATAAAGAAATAAAAAATAAGTCACCCCAAACCAAGCAGAAGGTAGGGATCCACAGGGGTGGCCCAATAACACTTTCTTGACCAACTGATGCCAGCACAGCTGTACCTGCTCGATACTATATCTATTTAAGAACATGTTCTCTATAGGGCTCGTTTTGATTTGGTGTGGCATGTGCAAACAGCGGAAGAATGACATAACAGCGAGTTTTTCCTGGGAGAAGGAAGGCTATTAAAAATGGTAAAGCTTTGCTTTTCTCCTCATGTTACAGGTACATGCTTATATATTCCCATTTTAACTCATGTCTTCTATTCAGGGTACTAAGTAGTTTATTGATTTCAACATATTGTTTCCCAAATTATCAAAAAATATCACACATTCTGCAGTTACTACATAACGTCTTGCACCTAGTAACTGAAGTTCATTAGTACTGAATGCAGGAAGCAAAACTGAGCTTCTTGACAATTAGGCTCTGCCTTTTTTTTTCTTCACTGGCTTAGCACAGCAATGGTTTATTTCTCACTCACATCACAATATACAGAGGTAGAACTGCTCTCCTTGGTGGTTCTTCTCCAAGTGGTAAGTCAGGGACCCAAGTTCCTTCCATGTTGAGACACATGTTATCTCAAACTTATGGTCCCTGAGTGTGCCACAGAAGGAGAAGAGAGAGGCTCTGCCTTCTTCAGATAAGTTAATTCACATATTTACTCCAAAGCAAAATAAGAAAGAAAAGCAAGAAATAGAATCTCGCCCTGATAATACCTGTAGCCCCCAAAAGCAGCAGGTATAGTATATCCTCTGACTCATGGGCCCCAGGATCAGGCAGCCTTGGTTGAGTCACTGGACCACAAGGTCACATGCAGCCCTGTACACAGCGAGTCCTCAATATATATTTGCTGAATTTAGCAAATAAAAATAATAACAACAAAACATCTTAAATCTGTCCGTTATTACATGTGTAATTTTTCTTGGGATCCATTCTAACTTTGCTAATTTTCTAGTCTCCCTTAAGAGTCATTTCAAAGAAAAGGCTGGGAGGACAGAAGGAATATTGACTAAGTATAAGGAGTGTGGCTTATAAGCATTGTAAAGAACAAATTATTTAAAAGCAACCCTTTTTTATGGCTTTATGAGTAGGTAGTTATCTGAAAAACAATACAAAAAGAATTATGAGGAGAGTTTGGAAGCCAGCGGCATAGGAGAATCCTGAACTTGCCTCCTCCCATGGACACGACAAACCTACAACTACCTGTGGAACAATTTCCTCTGAGAGAGATCTGGAAACTGGATGAAAAGAACCTCCACAACAAGGGACAACACAGAGAGGGGTCGAAGAGGCAGAGATACAGGCCTGCTGAGGAAAAAATCCCACCCTAGTCACGGTGCTTCACAGTCAGGAGCAATCTCAAAGGTACGAAGCTTCTCCTGGGGGAGTGCAGAATTTGAGCTCCACATTAGGCACCCCAGCCCTTAGATCCAGCATAAGAGACATTAGACCCCAAAATACCTGGCTTTGAAAACCAACAGGGAATATGCCCAGGAAAACTATAGAACTTCAGGGAAAGGAAAACCTGCTCTTAAAGGGCCCACACACAAACTCACTCAACCTGGAAACCAGCACAAAAACACCAGATAGAAAAGTGCATAGTCCATTGGTAAAACAGACTCCTTACTAAGCTCAGAGCCAATCCTGGGGAGGCAGGAGTGGCTGGGCCCACCCCCGAGGGACTGAGATACTGGCAGCAGCCATTATTGTGAACTAGTTCAGCAGTGCTGACACGGACACTGGCAGGCGCCATTGGAATCCTCCCTCTAGCCTGTTAGTGCAGGGGTCTGCCCTGCCTACTAGAGGACTTGAGGCAATCAAGCGCAGCCAGGCAGCAGACAGCCCACCTCAGGGACCAGCCCCATCCACCAGCGAGCTGGCCGCTGACTTGTGCCACTGGCCTCAAGTCCACAAACAGCCACACAAGGGATCTGCCCCGCCTACCAACATACCTAAAATGGTTGCGCACTGCTGCACCGGGGACCTGCTCTGCTCATCAGCACACCTGAGGCAGCTGAGCGCCTCCGGTGCATAGCCAGTTCATGCTGGAGACCTGCCCCACCCAAGAGCAAGCTGGCAACATTGACACACGGTGCAGCCAGCCTCAATGGGGGCCTGCCCTGTCCACCAGCATACCCAAGGCAGCAGAGCACCACTGGGCTGTGAAGCCAGACACACCAGGGGCCTGCTGCAGTTATGCGCCCCTGGGCCTAGCAACCAGCCACATTGGGGGCCTAACTTACCAACAAACCTGCAGTAGTTGTGTGCTACCAGAACTCGCAGCCAGCCATGCTGTGGGCCTACCCTGCCCAATAACGTGCCCATAGCACCTGCACATGGCCAGACCTCACCACCAGCTGGCCTGGGGGCCAGCACAGCCTACCCATGTGCCCAAAGCAATAGCATCCCCGCCACAACATAAGGGCACATGCAGCCCACACAGGGGACACTCCTGGAGCATTTGGCATGGGTGACAAGAGGGGAGCATGCTGCTAGGCCCCATAAGACATCTTCTACATAAGGCCACGTTTCCAAGATTGGGAGACATAGCACATCTACCTAATACACAGAAATAAGCACAGAGACGTAGGCAAAATGAGGAGACAAAGGAATACATTCCAAATAAAAGAACAGGAGAAATCCTCAGAAAAAGAACTAAATGAAACAGAGATAAACAATCTACCTCATAGAGAGTACAATCTACCTCTAATTGTCATAAGAATGCTCACTGAACTCAGGAGAAGAATAGATCAATACAGTGAGAACTTCAACAAAGAATTAACAAATATAAAAAAGAACCAATCAGAGCTGAAGAATAATGGAAATGAAAAATTCACTAGAGGGAATCAACAGCAGAGTAGATGACACAGAATAGAAGTAGATGAACAACAGAGTAGAGGAAATCACCCAAGCTGAACAGAAAAGAGAAAAAAGAATTAAAAAGAACGAGGACAGTCTAAGGGACCTCTGGGACAACATCAAGCATACTAACATTCACATTATAGGTGTCCAAGAAGAAGAGAGACAAAAGGGGGCAGACAACTTATTTGAAGAAACAGTAGCTGAAAACTTCCCTAACCTGGGGAAGGAGACAGACATCCAGATACAGGAAGCACAGAGAGTATCAAACAAGATGAACCCAAAGAGGCCCACATCAAGACACATTATAATCAAAATGCCAAGAATTAAAGATAGAGAATCCTAACAGCTATAAGAGAAAAGCAACAAGTTACATACAAAGGAAACCCCATAAGGCTATCAGCTGACTTTTCAGCAGAAACCTTACAGACTAGAAGGGAGTGGCATGATATATTCAAAGTGCCTAAAGGAAGAAACCTACAGCCAAGAATGCTCTACCTGGCAAGGTTATCATTCAGAATGGAAGGATAGAGAGCTTTCCAGACAAGCAAAAACTAAAGAAGTTCATCACCACTAAACTGGCCTTACAAGAAATGTTACAGGAACTTATTTAAGTGGAAAAGAAAAGGCCACAAATAGGAATAAGAAAATTATCAAAGAAAAAATATCACTAGTAAAAGCAAATATACACTCAAGGTAGTAGATCAACCATTTATAAAGCTAGTGTGAAGGTCAAAAGACAAAAGTACTAAAATCGTCTATAGCTATAATAAGAGGTTAAGGGATACACAAAATTAAAAGAGGCAAAATATGATGTCAAAAACATAAACTATGGGGAGGCAGAGTAAAAGTGTAGGGCTTTTAGTATGAGGTCAAACTTAAGAGACCATCAGCCTAATATAAAGTGGTTATTATATATGAACCTTATGGTAACACAAACCAAAAACCTATATAAATACACAAAAAATAAAGAGAAAGGAACCCAAACTTTAACATGAAAGAAAGTCATCAAATCACAAGGGAAGAGAGCAAGAGAAGAAGCAAGGAAAAGAGAAGAACTACAAAAACATCCAGAAAAAAGGTAAGAAAATGGCAGTAAGTACATGCTTATCAATAGTTAATTTAAATGCAAATAGACTAAATGCTCCAATAAAAAGTCAAAGTGTGGCTGAATGGATAAAAAACCAAGACCCGTATATATGCTGCATACAAGAGACACACTTTAGACCTAAAGACACTCACAAACTGAAAGTGAAGGGATGGAAAAAGATATTCCATGCAAATGGAAACAAAAAGAAAGCTGGATTAGCAATACTTACATCAGACAAAATAGAATTTAAAACAAAAACTATAACAAGACACAAAGAAAGGCATCACATAATGATAAAGGGAACAATCCAGAGAGGATATAACATCTCTATGTGCTCAACATAGGAGCACCTAAATACATAAAACGAATATTAACAGACATAAAAGGAGATATTGACATTAACACAATAATAGTAGGGACTTTAACACTCCACTTACATCAGTGGATAGATCATCCAGACAGAAGATCAGTAAGGAAACATTGGCCTTAAATGACACATCAGACCAGAGGGACTTAATAGATAATATACAGAACATTCCATTCAAAAACTGCAGAACACACATTATTTTCAAATGCACATGGAACCTTCTCCAGGATAGATCACATATTAGGCCACAAGACAAGGTCAAGCGAGATCAGCAGAACTTCTTAGTGAACACAGAATCATGAGAAATAACCTGTTATTATTTCAGGCCACTAAGTTTTGGGGTGCTTTAATATGCAGCAAAGGTGAACTAAAGCTGTCTCTATCACAGTAAGTAAACCAAATCCTGAAGCTTTTAAAAATGCAATCCAATCTGGAGTTGCAAAGTCCGATTCACATCTTAAATGTTGGCTACTTGGAGATACATGATATTAAGAAACAGGTGTGCTTCATAGGATTGTGCCACATGGCAGAGATGGAGATTCTCCATCCCTCCCCTTCCCCATAATCCCTCTGACTTTCATTGTAGGGTAAATAATTATTACCTCATAGCTCACTCCCTCCATACCTCCTCTCTAAGCAGAAAAATGTTAGCTGTCTCAAAAAGTCTGCATTCTTTGCACAAAGTACAATACTTAAGTGGTTCCAAGGGAAAAGCGCATGGTTTGCAAGTCACTGACCATCAAACGTCAACTGTCCTAGGCCCTAATGTTGTTAAAATAACACTTCAGAGGAAACAAAGAGCTGGTTTTTATTGGACTATATAATGATATTTCTCTCTCTTTCTTTTTGGTTGATAGAAAGAAAAAGACTTAAAGTTGAAATGATGCTTGATCTACAGCAACTAAAATCTAAGCAACTATTCCAATGAACAGAGCCTCTAGGGCAGAGTTCAAAGGAGAAAAAGCACTGATAATTGTGGCTTATCGCTTATTGAAGAGGGGGACTGATAAAGTTCAGGCTGGCAGTCCAGGACTAACATTCCTTTGGCTCCCTGGTCACAGTGCACTACAGTAGTTCTCAGCACTGCTTAGCAACACCAGCTCAGCCTGAATCTGATAAGTCACTGGAAAAAAATGGCTCATTCACAGCTTCCTGCAATTGGTAATTCCAATCAGAATGGGCTAGCTTCTTTGCCCTAAATGGATTAATGTTCTTAGGACAGTTCCATCTTTCTCTTGGACTGACCCCTTCTCCTAAGGCTTTTCATGTGAAGAGGAAAATTAAAACTTTATGATCAAAAGCATTCCATATTTTAGATATGTATGAATAATCATAACCTGCATTTCCAGTCTCTCTTTCTCTCTTACTAGCAAGGGAGAGTCCTTCTCTTATTATGAACACAATAAAAAAGAATAAAACAGCCAGCCCAAGCTCACCATTGTTATAGTCTCAGCAGAGGCCATTTGCTATTTCAGTTGGTCCTAAAAAGGGGTGTATTCATCATGAAAAATCTGAGGGAAGCTTGATGAACTATAGCAGCAAACAGCATCTGTTACCACATAAAATCTGCTCAGATACTGTAAAGAGATTGTTTACTTTCCAGCTTCTCTTGAGACCTCTACACCAACCAGTAGGTGGATGCAACTTCCTGACTGTAGGAATATACATTGTTGATGGAAATTTCAAGGAGAGCACAGAGCAACAGTGGAAACATAAGTGTATTTAGTGACCCTCCATAATCCCAAAGAGGTGATTTCCTCCTAAGAGCTAGTCCTTCTGTAATTTGCCAAGCTAGGGAAGCTCTGCATCTGGTCATGACTACATTTCTTTGGCAATTACTTTGTAACGTCTCAGAGGTTCCCAGGGCACATTTCTTGACCTGATGCTAAAAATCACCTCAAACCAGGTCATTTTGTTCTGCTGACTCCATGAAATGGTATCTGAAGTAATGGCTTGGGGTACTGCAACCAGACTTACTTTTGCAATTTTACTCCCAGATTTTTAAAACTGTCACGTAAGGTACACCTGATTGGCTTCTGAGTTGCCTCATTCATTCATTCATTTACTCATTCATTCATGAGCCCCCACTGTATACTGATTTCTGTGAAAGACTACTGAAGAAATAAAAGGCAGGTGGTCTGGCCTACCAAGGCTTACAGTCTAGATGGCCAGTCAATATGCCTCTGAAGTGAAAAAAGAACAAAGACATTTTTCAGGAAAGCAATAATGACAGTGGTGGGTGGGAGCCTTTTCCTTCACCCTAACCATCTTCCTCCCCTTACCTTGCTCTGATGGGCTGAGATCCGAGTCTGGGTCCCAGAGCACTACCATTTCCAGGAGAATTCTTTCTGGCTAACGCTGGGGATATAGAAGTTGTTCTTTGAGGCACCTGAAAGAAAAACAAAATTCAGAAATATTTTCCATAAAATAGCTTCCATAGGCTACTGCCTGAAAAGCAACCTACTCCTTTCCAAAGATTTGCCAGGGGTTACAAACTATCAGAAACGAGGAAGAAATACCTTGCATTTCTCAAAGAAATATTTAACTCCCAAAACAAAGTCAAACAAAAAGCAATGAGGCACATTCAGCAACCATTAAGGAGTATGGTCCTCAATTTTAAAGTCAAATTTAAAAACAGACCAAGCTAATTATTTTGATTCATTGGGTTAAAATAATTGACCTCCTTTTGTGCAAGAGTGGTGGATACCAGAAATTTCGGGTTTTTTTTTTAAACAATTCTCATCTCTGTTTTTTTAAGGAAGATTGGCCCTGAGCTAACATCTGTTGCCAATCTTCCTCCTTTTTTCCTTTTTCTTTCTATCTATCTTTCTATCTATCTTTCTTTCTATCTATCCCCAGTAGATAGTTGTATGTCAGTTGTACATCCTTCTAGTTGCTCTATGTGGGAAGCAACCTCAGCATGGCTTGATGAGTGACACATAGGTCCATGCCCAGGATCCGAACCAGTGAACCCTGGGCCACCAAAGTGAAGCACGTGAACTTAACTGCTATGCCACCAGGCCAGTCCCCAGAAATTTCTTTAGTGTACCATTAACTCAGCTGATCACTGGAAATTGCATCAGATGAGAGCCATCCAGATAAACCGAGCTCCATTTTTAGCTCACATCCCAACTGATAAACAGATAAGGAAATT